AAATCCTTTCATTTTGTTGGCCCATTGTCATGTGAACGCTGGACTCCCGCCAAGAGCCTTAAAATATAATGGAGAGTCCTGGGATCAATTTATAAAATTATTTAAAGTACGAAAATATCCCTTTAATTTATGGCAAAAAATAATAACTAAGCTCTATTGGCAACTGATACTTATTATACTCATGTTTTCGTGGTGAAAATATGGGATTTTTCAATGGGAATTAGATGCTAATTGAGGCCTAGGTTAATTTTAAAAATGTAAGCCGCTTAAGCTTAAAAAATAAACTGCTCTCAAAAATTGGTTATTCATTAATTGGAATTGTGCTCTTTAATAGCAATTTTTAAACAATAAAGTAATTTTCATTTCCACTAAAATCTTATTCAGTAAAATAAAAGCAAAATTAAATGTCTTATGGTTTGAGTTATTATAGGAAAGCGGTGGTCCTTTAAAAGCCCCTGTGTTAATCAGTTCAGTCACCTTATATATCATTTTTCTTTATTTATCTACTCTTCTAGCTAATTTACGTACTAATGACGATGATCATTGTCTGCACTTCACCCTTTTTTCTGATTAAAAATATGTGTGATTTTTCAATTCCCAGACGGCTATCATCAACACATCAACCTCATATGCAGGGCGTAATTGTTTTGGCACTCGACGTCGAGCGTCCAGCTCAGAAATAAGAATATGGAATACATAATGCTAAAAACATAGCCCCGGAGCTCATCTCATCAATCGCTGTCGCTTTTGGGAGGGTTGGATGTGAAAAAGCGAGGCAAACCACAAATTTGTCGCCCAGAACTCACTGCTTTGACAAATGTCTCGCACCTAATCAAATTTGATACAACTGAATGAGCCTAGAACGACATCCGTGTATGCAAATAGGTCCTGTTCTGTGCCACTCCAGTTCCAGCTCCTGCAATCAGTTGTCAAGTTGCGGCTGGTTGCAAATTTATCATCATTTAATTTCCATTTGCCGTTCGTGCCAAATGTTAATGACGCTGTTGAGTTGACAACAACTCGACTCGACTCGACGCGACGCGACTTCACTGGAGGCAAATCAGCGTTATCCTTGCACTTACGACTGCAATTTCCTTGCTGCTTTGACGCCCTGTGCTCGCTGACAAATTATGTCCCAGTCGACATCGCGCATTCGCCCCGTGGGCCGCCCGTCTTTGCCGTCGCTGCTCATTTGCCTAAGTGCGCCGTGCTTTTTGTGCGGTGGAGGCTTTTAATTAATTGTTAGCCTGCGACTTATTGACGGTCTGGTTGGTTGGTTAGCGTCGCAGCACCACTGCAGTGGAGGCAGCAAAAAAGTCAAACTAGCACTTAAAAAGCCGCCACGCTTTGCTACTTGTCAACCACGCGCCACAGTGCCAGTCGACTATATCCACGGCTATAGCTTCGGCTAAAGCCACCAGCCACCCTCGACAATATGCTTCACGTCCAGACGAAAGGACTGGCGGAGTGGGGTAGTTGCCCGCGGGGATGGGGAGCGGTGGTCGAATTTGAATGAAATATGACACACGACACTGCGCTACAAGGTTTAACATCAAATAGTCACATAATTTATATATATATAAATACTTAGGTTGCAATAAAGTTTTAGGCCAAAATGTACCACCCAAAAATGTATAAACTTTTTATTGATATTATAAAAGCATACATAATAAGAGTACCCACTAAATTTCAAAATTAACATAACCATTTATTTTCTATAATACAAAAATGAAAAGCTATAAAGAACAGCTAACCAAAAAAACAAAGGACTGACAGACCAGAAATCGTTTTCTAATACTTGTGGTATTATCTTATGATAAAAGTATTGTATATTAAATCACAACTATAAATAAATAATTAGAATAGTAAAGACACAATATTTTATAGTTTGTATACACCCCTATTAATTATCTAAAATCCCCTCTCATCAAATGTTAAATCACAAATATAAATGTAACAAAATTTGTATCAATTGTCGAGTCGATGGCCACAGTAGTTTTTTACCCCTTTTCCTAAATTAGTTATTATATTGTAAATGCGATTTATGTATAATAGCTAATACTGAAATAAATAAATAAATATTTTGTATACATTTTATAAATCAATTAAGGAAATGGTTTGTTTAGTGTATTAAAAGCAGGTTATTACACCAGTCATAATATCGAAAGCAAATTATCGTTTTCCTTAAGTTATTTAATGTCAATTAAAATTATTTCAACAAGCCCCCACTTTTGTAGCATAGTGTAGCCGCTAAGCAACCCTGCTTAGCAATTGCAATATGAAACAGTTTGACAAAAAGCCACCACCCACAAATTAGGCTGCATAACCAGTGACACAAAATGGGGTAAGAGGGGGGTGAAAGGCAGTGGAGGAAGTGGGAGGACTTGACAGACGACAGACATCGCCGCCATGTTTAGGGTATTATGTTGAAATGGGGAAAGATATGTTTATAGGAAATAAAGAGACTTGCCGACCAGAAAACAGCTTGACCCCTTTGCAGAACCATCTTGCAACCGACTTTGCATCCAGTTAATGGTTTATGACACTGCAAATAAAACTGAACCTTCCGCGTAAGAAAGGTATTTGGAAATCGCACGGAAAAGTGGAAAATGAGACCAGACGAGGTCGTAACAATAATTTGGCCGACAAATTGTATCACCGTTATTAGCTAATCCGTCTGGTCCTTTGTCGCTAATCCGCCGGATTAGCGAGTGCATCTTTCGCCTAAAAAAGTGCACAAAAACAGACGGATTTTTGGGAAAAGTTAAGAGTCTGGCTAATCCGGGTCTAATTTACCTCAGGTAGCTAAACAGTCCGCGAGGAAAAAACAACAACAACCCAAACAGACAACGATAGATGCATAAAAATCTCGCGACATTTTGCACACTCCTTTCTGTGGACCGGACGCTAATCCCCGGTCATAAAGTCGTAAAAAAATCAAATCACCCAGAGGCTGCAAATTATATTTGTATACAGACGTGACCAAATGGGACGTAGGGCGTGGCTTTCGGAGTAGGAGGCGTAGGCGAGTCCGGTCGTAAAACGCTTTCGACAATCCTTAAAAACCCAACGAGTTGAAATGGAATTTCAATTATTCGACTTGAATCTGTCCGATAGTTTTTTCGATGAAATGAGGGGAACTACGGATTAGGAAGGCGTGAGAGGTGTTATTATTTCAAGCTTGGCTTAGTAGGATGGTTGGATTAGGCTTTAGCGAAAGTTAATCACTTCCGTTTGGATTCATTGATAGATTTAGCTGTATGACCTGAGGAACTTTACTTAAGAGTTCAATTCATATCAGAATTACTACACTTACCTATAAATTAAATTAAAATTGATAAAGAATCCAAACAAATAACGCAATTATCCAATTTTGCTTAAAGATATATGTATTTTTTGTAAAGATCATGAAAACACTAATGAGAGTAAATTATAAAAACAAACAGTAGAATTGAAAACCATTTAAAACATATGTTACATTTGCCACTCTGTTGACTTCTCCACATTATTTTTATTGTATTGGAAACTCCAGACAAAAAATGTTCTAAAGGGCTAAGCCAGAAGAATCCAATTTTTATATAATTATTCAATATCACGTCAATGCTGGGTAAATATTTGTGAAATGTAGATATCGAATAAAGAACGAAGAGCGAACGGAGAATGGAGAAACAAGGCAGGGAACAACAACAAAAAGACCAATATCAACAATACGCATAATAACAACAATAATCAATATTTGATATTTTAACACATTTGACATACACCTGGGAAAGGTAGGGGAAGGGTAAGATTGAATAGACTCCAAAGAGTAGAAAACGGCAATCGAAAAGCCAGAGTTTTGAGGGAAGACAATGCAAGTGGATTTATTAATGACCGCAATTATTCTTATTATTATTACGAGAAGAAGCCAAAAATCAAAAACGGAAAAACACGCGTCGATTTCTTTCGCCAGGGTATTCTGTTACACTCCGAATAGTGAGCTCTTAGAGGGCCTGGGCCCCCCGTTGATCCCGAGGAAACACAATGTGACCCCCATCCAAAGATCGCAGAGACGACCTTTTGTTCAAACTATCGAATTCTGTCTTGGAGGCGCAAAATAAACAGCGCATTAATCAATAGAAATTAATACACAACGGCAAATAGTTGTATAATGGCAAATCAAATTTTAGTTTTTTCATCTCTTCTCAGCGGGTGTAAACTAACCGACAAAAAACTCACACAAAAATTATCAAAATAATGGTAAAGACACCCAGAGACAAGGTTAATTTGATCAGCAAAGGGAGAGGTGTTTGAGCTAAGCTGAATACCACGAATAAAAAACAGAAAAGTCGTCCGCATTATTGGGTGATGATGAAATGAGTGTTTTTAAACTATGTTATATCCGAATGACCCACTCAATCGAGCTGACAATATTATGTTAATGGCTGTAGAATTTATCTTATGAATATTCAAACTGCTTATTAATTTCGTCGATCATTTTGATCCAAACTGAGAACATAAACTCATTTAATCTCAAAGTTTATCGATAAGCTTCAAAAATATTTCAAATACAAATATGATAATCCAATTATGGGAAAAAGATTATATTCGATTATTAAGCAGAACATTTTAAAGTCAGCATAGACATATAGAGGAAATTATCGAGCTGAAAGTATAACTGAGTTAACAGGCTTTTGGAATAAGTGAAATGTGTTAGACCGGTTAAAGGCTTATATAATTTTATTTGATTTGTTGGAATAATTTATGAATTTAATATTCACGTATTCGAAGGTGTAAAACCTTAATAGGATTGCCAAATAAAGTAAAACACCATCTGGACTCAAAATTGAAAATAAGTTCAAGTTTTTGACAGAAATCAAAACGTTTCAACGTATTGACATCGATCTATATATTCTACATTGCACTAAACCCGCAATCTTTCCTTTGAGCTGTAAAATATTTTAAATTAAATAGGCATTGTTTGAAATTTGGTTTTCTCAAATTATTTTGTTTTTATTCATTTTTAAATGTCTTTGTTTTGTGTTGGCTTTCATGAACCATTTTTCGCTTAGATGATAACGTTTAATTTTAATACAATTAATAATACAATAATACATTGATGTACGTTCTTTTCCTCGCATTTCGGGCTACACTGACACTATAACGAAATTGGCTGGGATATTTACAATTTGAGAGGGTTAGACATTTAAAACTAGAAGCTACATTTAAAGTTGGTGCTGATGCGAAAAAAACAACAAGGAGGAGGCGCTCTCTCAGTGCTTAAAACTAAATAAAATTAATTTACAATTAGGTTTTGTTTCTTGTTTTTGTGGTGTAGTGAGTGCGCGAAATAAATTATAGTTTATAGTTTGTGTATTGGCTAGGAATGTTTTGTGTGTTTTTTTTTACTTAGTTCTTAGATCTGAAGTGCGCAAAGATTGTACTAAAATTAAGCGGAGTGGTTTGGATTGGCTTACTTAGAGCTTTTGAAGATTTAAAACCAGTGGATCACTTTGGGAATGCTTCAACAATTGTACTCTACTCTGTACTCTACCCTAAATCTCAGCCCTAATAGAGCACTGGAACCGGTCGCCTCAGGGCGCTGTCCATGGACCCATCCATTCCATTGGGCGTGATGGTTCCGGGCGAAGATCCCGGCGAGGAGGTGGACGAGGATGTGTAGAGTCCGGCGGCATTGGCGGAGTGAGCGGCGTACAGCGAGGGTGCCGAGATGCCGGAGTAGATGCCCGAGTAGAAGCTGCTCAGCGAGGTGGGCGGCAATTGGGGCGGGGCTTGTCCTTGCTGCTGACCTTGGTTGTTGACCGCCGCCGCCGCCGCAGCCTGCGATTGATGGAGCTTCGACAGAGCCAGTGGGTCAAATCCGCCGAAGTACGGCACTGGATAGCCCTGATCCAGATGATGTGAGGGCGCAAAGTAGGGCGGCAGCTGGTGGAAGGGATTGTAGCCCCCAGCTCCGGCTCCCGGTCCAGCTCCCAACTTCTGTTGGCCCATGCCGCCGGCCTGCATCTGTAGTCCACCCTGGGGTCCAGCGGTCAATGGGTTCTTGGGCTTCCGGCGTGGGCGGTACTTGTAGTCCGGGTGCTCCTTCATGTGCAGGGCCCTCAAACGCTTGGCCTCGTCAATGAAAGGCCTCTTCTCAGACTCGGCCAGCAACTTCCACTCGGCACCCAGTCGCTTGGAGATCTCCGAATTGTGCATCTTGGGGTTATCCTTGGCGATCTGACGACGCTGCAGGCGGGACCAGACCATGAAAGCGTTCATGGGCCGCTTGATGTGACCCTCCTGACCCGGCGAAGTGGCCAGGCTGTGCATTCCGGCGGACTGGTGACTGGAGTTCAGACCACTGCCATTGCTGCCCAGACTGCTCTGGCTGCCCAAGCTACCGGCGGATCCAATAGAACTGTTTGGCGATAGGGTCTGTTGGGCGGAGACCGCCTGGTGCATGTGGTGCGGGGTCATGTGGCTGGACATGTGGTGACCCATGCCTGGAGATCCGTTCACTCCCTGGCCGGCGGGTCCATTGGGCGATCCGCCCATGGCCGCCAAGCTCTGGGAATAGTGTAAAACCCTTTTGATATCCATGTCCATGCCGGGACTCAGCTGGAGCTGGCCCTGCGGAGCGTAGTCCTCCAATCCCTGGGCCTGGCCCAAATGGAAACCGTAATTGGGGTGTGTCGATAAGGTGGCCATTCCAGCAATTTTGATCACTTTTGTTTAATGTTCTTTTAAGATCAACACTTCACTTTCTCGTACACAATTGTCTGTAGTTAAACTGCGATATTGTTTCTTTTTGGTTTTGTCTTTATGTCAATGACTGTCTTGCTTTTGCTTGTGCTACTGCTTTGCTCTTGCTTTTGCTTTGCTCTTGCTTTGCTTCTGCTCGGCTCGACTGCTTTTTTGTGACTGATTTTACTAACGTTCCAGTGCTGCCGACACGACTGCAGCCAAATCCCGTTTCTCTTCGGGAGAGAGTCTGCGAGCAACCCTCGCATTGTTACTTAGGCAAGCGAGTGGGAGTGCGAGCGGGACAGAGGCTGAGGCTGTTACCTGGGAGAGAGCTGCGCCGCCGTCGCGCTCTCACTCACACATAGCGCCTTCTCTCTTTGGCCTTTGTGGCCCATTGTTCCATTGGCTTTGTTCCATTGGCTCCTTTATATCGGTTATAGTTGTTCGCCCATTGAGGGGTGTGTTCAATAGAGGAGCTAAATAGAACTCGTTCGGCTCTGCTTCGTGTTATTCGATTTAGCGACCCCATTTCTGGGGGGCGGGAGGGGGCTCCAAAGAGAGAGAGCGGGAGCACATTGATTTTCGCACAGTGGGCACACAATTTCCGTTATTGTTTTGCACGGCGACGTTGCATTTCCGCTTCCCCCAAGCAGCCAGAGCGAGAGAGGGAGATGCAGTTTGAGAGGAAGCGCAGACTCTCTCTCACTCTCTCCCCGTGCGAGTGTATGGGTGTTGGGCCAATCACAATGGGCCTTTGGTGTGAATTTTTGTCCATTGTGGGTGTCTGTGTTCAGCTATATACCGTTCTCTATGTGTACTCCGTACTATGTGTGTGTGTGAAAGGACTTTTTAGTTTGTGAAAAGGACATGGAAACACGCTTTCCATTCACTCGCCCCGTTCTCCATTCGCCCATTCTCGTATTCTTTCATTTCGCTCGCCATTCTTCTCCATTCTTTTCCGTTCCCTTTTTGCCACTTCTTCCTGGCCGCTCCAGAAAGGATATTACTGCAATTATTTACTTATTTGGCCATAGAAAAGTGAGTCGAATAAAGAAGCCCACAAAGAAGCGAGTGGAAGTGAGGCAAATCTTCACCCAGATGCTTGTAGAACGCTCCTATGTTTATGTTCTTGACTATAAAGATGTTTTAGCCAACTACTATTTCTTGTTTTCTAAGTAAGCACAAAAAAAAGTTGTTTTTAAATATTCATTGGAAGGTGCAAAGGCTATGCAATGCACTTCAAGAATATTAGGCGATAGTAAAATCTACTCAGTAGTTGCATTTACCCTAATTAGGTAATCTTCCAACTGAAATCGACGTTCTGAACCACTCACTATTTGAAGCAGATTCCAGGGGTATTAAGACTTAATAGTCTCAATATCAAAATCTTTTGGTTTTATTTTTAAGTACACCTATATTGCTAACAAGAAAGGAAAGCTAACTTCGGGCGGAGCCGAAGTTGATATACCCTTGCAGAATATTTTATAAATTATATTGTCCAAAATTATTCATATGATGTATTTTTAATACTCATAAAATGTCCCAACTTCCTAACTTTAAAAACACCAAAGTTATGTCATTTCCAATCGTTCAGTTATATGGCAGCTATAAGATATAGTCGGCCGATCCTTATGAAATTTGGTAGGTCGGATTGATTAGCCAAAAATAAAACCCATAGAAAATCCCAACTTCCTAACTTTAAAAACACCAAAGTTATGGCTTTTCCGATCAATCAGTTATATGGCGGCTATAGGATATAGTCGTCCGATCCTTATGAAATTTGGTAGGTCGGATTGATTAGCCAAAAATAAAACCCATAGAAAATCCCAACTTCCTAACTTTAAAAACACCAAAGTTATGGCTTTTCCGATCGTTCAGTTATATGGCAGCTATATGATATAGTGGCCCGATCCGGCTCGTTCCGACTTATATACTACCTGCAATAGAAATACAACTTTTGGGAAAGTTTCAAGCAGATAGCTTTAAAACTGAGGGACTAGTTTGCGTAGAAACGGACGGACAGACGGACAGACGGACAGACGGACAGACGGACGGACAGACGGACGGACAGACGGACATGGCTAGATCGACTCTCCTGGTGATGCTGATCAAGAATATATATACTTTATAGGGTCGGAAATGTCTCCTTCACTGCGTTGCAAACTTTTGACTGAAATTATAATACCCTCTGCAAGGGTATAATAATTATTCTTGAACCATAATAAATTTAGATTTTAAATCGTTATATGAGAATAAATCAGTATTGCGATCAGATGAATCTTTTTCATATATATTGTTGTTATATATACTTAGTTAAAATATACTTACATTTATTATATGGTTATATTCTTATATCCTTAGTTTTCATCGACTCACTGATGCGATCTTCCTCTGCACTTAGGTAACAAATTAATTAGAAATTTTCTTTCCACAACGTGGACGTGAATGAAACTCCATAGCCCCAAAACCAAAGTTAGCCCCTCTCATTCCCTCCCTCTTCCTCTTTGTATCGCCCCCCTTTCTCTTTCTCCCACACACGCACGCACTTACACAGATGCACCCTAAAGCTTAGTGCAATTTCCAATTGCATTTACAAAGCTCTTATACCTGGCCCATAGCGTAAGAGCATAAAAAGCTTTCAGCGTTCTCAACGTTTCCTTTGTGTCTGCTTTCCCCGAAAAAGGAAGAAAGGACAACGACAACAACAACGAAACTCAAATAATAATGAAAGGAAAAAACTGTTGTACGTTGTGTAATGGAAAAAGTTTTGTCCGGGCCACATTTTTCTTTCTAAGTATTCAGCATTTCACTTAGCAGACGAGGACACTAAGTGAGTGATAATAGCACAGAGAGTGGGATAAATGCAGGAAAAATACATGCTCTTGGTTTTTAAGAATCAAGCCCCACTCACATGCGGTTTAAATTAATTCTAAATTTACAATCTCAATTATGCTTCCTAAGGAAATTTATAAATTCTTCATTATAAAATGGTTTTAAAATGATAAATATACTTTTTCTTGTTTTAGTATCCGTTTTAAACATGTTCAATAACAAACTAAAATTCGGTTTTAATATTGTTTGATTTAAAAAGATTTAGAATAAGAAAAGTTATAGTTAGACAAGTTTGAAGATCTTGCTAAGCTTAAAAAGAACATTAAAGTATTGATTGAGTAAAGTTTTTAAAATATCTTGCTGTGCTAAATTCGTAACCAAATTCCAAATGATCAGATTTAGGGGGCAACAGATGGCAGTCAACTTATCAATATGCCGTTGAAAATTTGATGAATGTAATTTAAATTTTATCGTTAAATGACATTTGAGAGATGAGTCAAGTTGCGCCGCGATTACTATTATACGAAAACAATATTAACCATTATCCTGTCGCCAGAAATCACCCTCACCGCTTAACCCATTCTCAATTCTCCGATTCTCTGAAGAGAAAGAGAAAGAGAGAGACTCGCGTTTCATTGTTTGCTCCTGCATTGTTGTTGTTTTCGATTGTTGATTGTTGTTGTTGCCATTCAATTGTCATTTGGGGAGCTGGTTTCTTTTTTTTTGTATTCCGCAAATATAATTTTTTCATTCATTCTTTTTTTAATTAAATTCAGGAACAATCGCGCAAATGTGAGACTTAACAATATCCAGAATGGTTCCAATGATAATGACAAAAATAAAACGAACATAAAAGCCAAATGAGGTTACATTCCCATCATTGTTCAGTTGATTGAATTGTTCAATTATTGATACGGCATATATGCATGTATCATTTTTGTTATACATGCTTTTTTTCCTCATTTAGAGCTATATAATCCAGTTCGCATCGCACCTGGCATCGGCAGTTGTAAAAGGAATCGTTTTGGCCGGATTTTCTCACGTTTTTAGTTCGGCTTTTGTTCATTTTGCATTTCCATTTTCCACCCACTAGATTTTTCTTTGATTTCTTCTGCTTCTTGGCGTACGTGTCCATTTGATTGCCTCACAGATTTCGGCGCTTTTCACATGTCATTCCAGTTAAGAGCATTTTTGGCATGCTCACGAATTTTCCTCCATTTCCCATACATTTCTGATACTCCTCTTCGTTTTTATTTTGGGTTGGAAAAGTGAAAAATTATGGCGCATTTATCGTTTGATGTTTATGGAAGGGGAGAGATTAAGGGATGGCAGGTCCTGCTAGGGATAATAAAAACGTTCTGGTGGTACAACTTTTAATAGCTAATGGGAATATTTAACCAAATATATAGTTTGCGAGTTTTGGGCATTCTTTATAAGCTCAAAAGTATATTATGAATCCCTCTTTTACCTTTTATATTCATTGATATATCATTGCACTATTTGTTTCTAAATGACTTAAAATGTTTAATTGACTAGATTTTTAAATGTTTTTTATACAACATTATATGTAGTACAAATTAAAATCAAAAATGTAGGCACATGTAAACTTCTCGAAATGAGAATATCATTCCAAATATAACAACTTGTATTGAGAAATGATCTTATTATGCCTTTGACCAGTCCCATAATTTTCTAGTTACCTTTACAAATATAAGAACCAAATACATTGAATGGTTTTATAATTCAGCATTTCCCACCATATCCGGGTTCCACTTTTAGGTCCGGGCGTGATTATGCGACAAGAAATGGCCAAATTGTCTCAGGAATTTCGCCGCTCGGCTCATCCCAAGCTCAGACCATTAAGGAAACAAAACGAGCCATTCTTCGAAGGAAACGATGGAGGAGAACTCTGTAGCGATGTAAGGACGGCCACATGTCCTGTCGACTTCCGTTTCGGCTTCACCTGATGCAAAACCGGTTCCGCTACTGTCATGGATGTTGCACAATTCCTACAACTTTTGTACCCGTTTGTTGCACTTATTGTTTTCCCCATTTTCAGGGGAACTCGAGGAAACAATCTCGTTGTTTACCGCGTTGAATAGAATACTATTTCCGGGGTCAGTTATTGTCACTTGCATTGTTCTAAATCAACGATAATATTTCGCAATATCATCCCAGGAAAAAACAATTCACCTTTTTTCCGAGCAACTTGCGGTGTTTGCTAAAAGGATAATTGCTGTGAAAAACATGTGTAAGCCCGCATTGGCTTGTTCAGCCCTGGATGAATGTGGGAAAATGCAATGCAAATCCAATTGTCGGAGCTGTC